AACTCTGGGTGAGTAATATTCTTGAATTATAGCTATGCTTTCACACAACAGTTATTTCAAACCAGATCACACTGGCTTATGGGGATCTGCAAACGTCTCAGAAAAGGTCTTTTACGTGGGGTGAGACGAAATGTGGTAGGTAAAAGGGAAGCAGGAGCAGAGAGGGAGATGCAAAGCTACTATGTAGCCTAAGTAAGGAGCACACTGTTGGGTAACAAACACTGAAGATACACACTTTGTTCTCCAAGTACTTACTCTGACACAGATTTCTGGATTTGTGGAAACACAGGCCACTCATTCTTAGTGATTCCTTGACACTTATTGACTCATGGGCTTGCAGTTTTCCAAGTATTTATTTTACCTACAAAAAATCAGTTTGGTCCCTATTTCATTTATTAATGGTCTTCAACAGTCTCCCTCCTCCTTTAAAAGCCAGAACTCCTGAGTGAGGAAGGCTATCCTTCCTATACTTCAAGGCATTAGGCAGCTGCATTCTTTTCCACAAATACAACGTATGAAAAGGCAAACAATATTTGTTTCAAATGCAATTTAATGTTGCAAAGTATTACATGCTTTCCACAAACATTCAGTATACAGACTTCAACAGAGATGAAGAAAAACAAAAACCCCAACATCACTCCTTACATGCTACTTATTGAATTTTAGTGACTGTGAACTGGGCAAGTGTTTGCCATCACAGAGAGCTAAATACCCTTTCTTGAATAACCTGAAGTTTAACCTTCAAGGAATGATGGGTTTCACACACCAATATACAGAATCTACATTATACTCAACACAATATTGCATCCCACTATTTAAACTAAAATACTAATTGAACCTAAAGACTACAAACCCACACACTTCCTGCCAGCAAGGGAAGAAAGCATTTTGAGGCTTTAAAATCTGAGGGTGCATATAAATAATTTTATCTCCAACATAATGCACTTACTTGCGCATGTTTATTCCTGTGTATGATCAGGGCAGTGCACAAACCCCCTGTATGCCAATCACATACTTCTTTGGGTACTAATGTTATCATGAAAGTTCACTCTGTAAAGCTGTGAATCTGACAAAAACTGCCCTTTTCTTACCTTTTTGAAACAAGTGTAGCCTTTGTCATAACATATAAGTTAATATTAATTTAATATAAAGTGCAGTAGCTACACCTAGAAGTTGTGGGCTGTTATTACAGTAGAATACTCCCAACTAATTCTATAGTGGAGATCACATAGTGATCTTTGTTTGAAGAGTACAAAGGCCAGAGGTTAGTTAATAAAAATACAGGAGATGATTCTTGGCCTGTACCTACATTTGCTCACCTCTGCAATAGCTGAATGCTCTCTGATAGGTCTTTCAATTACAAAATTACTTCTTTGTGAGCAGTCAGACTCTGTAGAGCATAAGACAGCAGTTGACAGCAGGTTGATTAGAGCTCTTCGAGTCAAAGGTTGCTTTCAAAAAAATACTGAGTAGGAAGGCTCCAGTAATTCTGCATTACATCTGCAGTTACTAAGTTCCCAAGCAATACTGAAAATAACTTATTTACCATAATATAATAATTTAGAAAACACTATTGAAAAATCTTACTCAAAGTAGGACCATGTCAGGCAACAACACCATTAGCTGGGTTCCAGCCAGCAAGCCTATGTGTTTAAGGATCTAATCATATGAATTTTAATACCTGAGAAGCGTATTTCATATTTAGGGAAAGAGGAAGGAAAAGGAAAAAGCAGCAGTGTTTCAAAGACTAACAAACATTACCATATGAATTTTCACAAACAAGTTTCATATAAAAATTACATGACTGTGTCAAAAAGATCATGTTTCTCTCAGATGAATCTACTAGCAAGTGATACAAATTTTGCACTGTTCCACTGGACAGATTTTGCTGGATTTATGATCTGTCAGTCAACCTGACAGTAGGCTACTTACCAGCTTTGAAGTTCTCAAGAAGACAGTCACATCTCCCACTAATAAAACTTTGCTTTAAGCATAACAGCATACACCTTAGCTCTTGTTTTCTAAGCACAGATTTGAACATAAAAGTTATCGTAAACGTTTTACAATGCTTGAAAGTTAATTCACCCCAAAATTCTTGTTAAAAGTCACCTTCCTAAAGATAACACTGTATAGAGTTACATTTTCACATTACTAGAAAGAAAGTACAACATGAGACAAAGGAAAGCACAGAGGAAATGGTATTTCCTGGTCTAATATGAAAAAAAGTATTTGGAAAAATATCCAAAGCCTTAACCTACTTACAGTTCAGATGTTAGGTGGAATGTAAGCAGACCCTTTTTTTCCAAGACTGCAGCTACTAGCATCTACAACTGCTAATATTTGAAAAATATGCCTACACTTTGCACCATTTTTTAAACAGAACTAGCATAAATTGCTGCAAAAAACCACAGCCATTCCTGAATCTCAACCCAAAATATAACCTGTTTTCTAAGAATGCAAGATTCAATGTTGCATTTCATTGTTCACTCAAATCTAAGTCTTCAGCTTGGTTCTTAAGCAGTCATCTACTTTTTTTTCTAAAAATGTGTCAGTATAGCTAGCGGAGCACTGGACTATCGTTCACGTCACTTTGCAACGCCTTGGTGAGAAGTTAACTCTCAAATTGGATGTACAGGTAGGCACCTATGAGTTTTTGTAGTTTAATCACACGGTCAATCCATGCTGACCTGAGCTGTCACTGAAGTTAATGTTCAGCCTTCTGTGTGAACTTCAATACCAAATTCAAGACCAAATGTCTCTGTAGAGGTAGAAAGGGATTTCTGTGACATTTCTGTAAGAGGGAAATATGCAGCATACAAATGTCTAAAGGTCAGTCTACAGAAAAATTCAAAACCTTTCAAAACCTTTGAACTCCTATTTAATTTTAGTGACAATCTTCTGTCAGCTATTCTTGCATTTACACTGCCTAACTGCACTGATTCAGTTGCCCAGTTGCAAACACTTTGCACTTGTCTCCTGTTGTACTTGGGGAAGTAACCACATACTCTGTGATCCAATGTGATGCACAGCCAAACTCACTGTATATATGCCAGGCTGGGAGGAGCACGTGCTTTGAGCACACTCTTGTGGCGATGTGCACCCACATCAAAATTATAGTTGAGAAGAACACAGGATAGCATGCAGGCATCTTGGACTGGCTTATGTCGCAAACAAGGCCTTTAGCCACAAGTTACAAATGGAGCGAATTAAGCACCAGAGGAGACCTACTGCAGAAACATCATTCCTTGAGCCTGGTATTTGGAAAGAGCTTTTATCAAGAAAAATGCTCCATTGAAAATACAGTGCAAAACAGAGCCAACCAGAGAAGGCAGTGGTTACTTTAGTGTTTGAGGGCCTCCACCTTCCTGCTTCCTCTCTCCTCTCCAGAGAGGAAAGAACACACTTGCTTCCTCTTTCTATGACACCTGAAGTGCTGCATATCTTAGGAAGAAGATAAAATACAACCCTATTCAATTATCATCATTTAAATACTGTCTGTGCTGGAATATAAGTTGCATCTCCATTCTCATTCCGTGGCTAACTTCATGTGACCTTCACAGGTGCTTTCTTGTGTGCACAGAGGAGGGTGACGTAGGGAACCCCAATGAATGCCCATCTTTCACTGGGCCAGAACTTTATGACAGGGCCCTGCTCGGGGATCTCAGAGGCAGCATCGAAGTAAGCAAAGCAGACACAGCCCAGGTACGCCGCAAGACAAATCAAAATGTGCCTAAGAATAGACACCCACCCCCGCCCCCCCCCCAGAAAAAAGGAAAAATAAGTAACATGACTTCAGTAAAGCAGTCAAACATCTCACCAAGCTTTATAATCAGTCTATCCATCTTCTTCCCCTGACTACCCCCCCGAGGGTTGCTGGCTGCCTTTTGCATACAGGCAAAGAATACAGAAAATAAAGAAAACAACAAAACCATAGCTTATCCTTGGTCTAAACTGGCTGCAGCTTTTTTGCCTCTCTGCACACGACAGATCTGAGTAGAAATGCTGAGATATGGTATCTTGAATAAGAGAGCAGAACTTGCCAAGTGGTAAAAGAGAAAAAGCACCAAAGTCCCTCACTGCTCCCCCACTTCACCTCAGTTGTTAACAGTGGAAGTTTAAGCTTCCAGTTGAGCAGTGCTGCAGAATTTTTCAGTAACCAGTAGAGCAAGGAATTCAGTTAGAATTAATGAACTTAGTGTCTGAAGAATCTGATCGAGCCAGGGAGACTCCTAAATCTACCACCTTGGATAGCATGAGACTTGCTCTGACGTATAATCTTAACAGTAATCCTATGAAGCCTTAACCAGAAATAGCCACCAGACTGCACAGAAGGGTAATGTGCCCTTGTGGCTAAGAAGGCCAGTGGTATTCTGAGGTCCATGAGGAAAAGCACTGCCAGCAGGTTGCGGGATGCGATCCTCCCACACTACTCTGCGCTCATGAGGCTGCATCCACAGTACTGTGTCCAGGTCCGGACTCCTCAGCACAAGACAAGGAGTCACTGGAGAGAGTCCAGTGGAGGGCTACAGTGACGATTAGAGGACTGGAACATCTCTGATGAGGAAAGGCTGAGAGGGCTGTGCCTGTTCAGCCTACAGAAGACAACTGAGAGGGGATCTACCAATGCACACAAATATCTTCAGGGCCAGTGTCTAGAGGATGGGGCCAGACACTTTGCAGTGGTGCTCAGCAACAGGATGAGGGGCAACGCGCATAAACTGGAACACAGGAGCTTCTATCTGAATATGATAAAGAACTTCTTTACTTTGAGGGTGGCAGAGCACTAGGACAGATTGCCCAAAAGATGTGGAGTCTCTTTCTTGGGAAATATTCAAAACCTGCCTGTACACAATCCTGTGCAACCTGCTCTAGGTGAACCTCCTTTAGCAGGGGGATGATCTCCAGAGGTCTCTTCCAACCCCAACCATGTTGTGATTTTGTAACGTGGTGACAATATATTATATTCTAATCAAACTCTGGACTTTATACACAACACTTACCACACACAGTGCAAATAAGGAAAATTAAATGAGGACCAGGTTTCACAAAATGCTTTGTCACTGATCCAGCAGAAAAGTGCTAGCGTCCACCAAAGGCCTGAAAAGAGGCCCAGTTTGTACACACGTAGGTTTTCACATCTAAGGAGGAAAACACAAAGAAGTTGTTATGAAACAATGTAAAATTTGCTTTGTAATGTCAGCTTGATGATTTTTGGCCATACATATTTTAGGGTAGGATTCATAATGCCATCTTTAATATGGCTCCACAATAAATGTCTTTAATAGAGACACTTTACTTACAGTAAATATGGCTCTGATGCAAGGCAGTGGCAAGGTGACAAACCAAACCTTCCAATCAGTAGATGTGTTTTGGGTATTCTACTAAAGACCAATCTGCAAATGGTGGGCAAACATCAAAGCATTCCCATACGCATGGAGGGGCATCTAGGACCTAGCAACTAGTGACTGGTAGTTACACATGCTGTCTGCGAACAATCAGCCACACAGGAAGTGCTCAGATTTGTTGGTATTTGTCGTGGTTTAAAACCAGTCAGGCAGCTCATTTACTCACTCCCCCCCACTTCTTTCCCTCCCCCTACTCCCGGAGGGACAGGGATGGAGAGGAGAATTGAAAAGAATGCATCTCCCACGGGTTGAGATAAGAACAGTTTAGTAACTAAGGTATAACGCAAATCACTACTGCTACCACCAATAGTAATAATGATAAAGGAAATAACAAGGGAAGAGAATACAACACCTCATCACCCGCTGACCGATAACTTGCCCCCTCCAGCCCGACCAAGCTCTGCCCGATACCTTGTCCAACCCCGAAGTCCACTAGCCCTTCCAGGTAACTGCCCCCAGTTTATATACTGGACGTGACGTGCTGTGGTATGGAATACCTCTTTGGCTAGTTTGGATCAGGTGTCCTGTCTCTGCTTCCTCCCAGCTTCCCCTCCTCCCTGGCAGAGCATGAGGCTCAGAAAGTCCTTGGTCAGACTAAAACATCAGTGTTATCAGCTCTATTCCCAGGCCGAAAGTCAAAACACAGAGCTGCACCAGCTACTAAGAAGGAATAAAAATGACTGCTACTGCTGAACCCAGGACAGTATTTGTCACTATACAGAGACTGGTAAAAAAAGGAACTGGATGATAGTTTTTTTAGTTGGTTAATTCCTATCTCCTAAAGCAGTCCCACATCTACTGATCAGATGACAGAATAATTTGCTTAAAATGACTTGTTTGAAGTACATGTCAACAGTAAACCAAAAAGCCAAATCTCTAGTCAGTGTAACAAGGAATACTCAGCCTTTGTGAGGATTGCAGGCCCCTGTCTTCTGTATTGTAGAAAAAAACAAGTCAATGCCAATCACCCCACAATCACTTCCTCTGTCCCAAGGTCTTCAAGAGGGGCTTCTCTATTCCACACTCATCTTCTACGTCTTACACTTCTCTCATGAATATATTGGGAATGTCTCTTCCCCTTCAGCAGATCAGCAGCCAACTCTTCTCTCTGCTCCAATCTAGCTATCCCAGTAGATTTGACACTGAATCACAAGTCTTCTTCCACACAATTCCTGGGACAATTCACTGCATCTGAAGACGAGAAATGCCTGGCAAACAGGTCTTTTAAAGGGACACTTTACATTGTGACACTCATAAGCAATAAAAATGTGTATCCTTGAAGGAGGGAGCTTGAATAGTCAAACATGTCTTTACTGTCTGTATTGCAGTAGTATTTATGCTCCCTGATCTTTATACACAACTGTCCTTGACAACAGACTAACACAGTGCAACACAGGCCAGAAAGCAATTTGGTCTTCCTGTCTTTCACACAAAATACTTGTCAGCCTGAAACCTGATGTTCTCATTTGATATATTTAGAGAGTTCTAACTTTTCCAACACTTACTGCTAATTGTCTGCATGGCCATACACAGCCTACAAGCCACAGGCTACCCTGCGTTCAGTGTCAGGGAAGTAGTAATGCCAGCTCGTCCCAAGCTAAAATATATCACTACACCCTCCAACACAAAGATGATCTCCAGCTACTCAGCTGGAGAAGGACAGAAGAGAATAACTCCTGTCTCTCTGTGGTAGAAAAGCAGAACTGCCACTAGTAGCAGAGTTTAGCTAAGGTGTCCCATTTCAGCTGTAACAGTGATTTTCCTCCTTCCTAGCAGCTGGTGCAGTGCTGTGTTTTGGCTTTAGTCTGCGAACAATGCCGGTAACACACAGAGATTTTAGCTGTTACTAAGTAATGCTTACTCTGATCAAAGATTTTTCAGTCTCTCATGCTCTGCCAGTAAGGAGGGGCACAAGAAGCCAGAAGGAAGCAGAGACAGGACACCTGACCCAAACTAGCCAAAGAGGTATTCCATACCACAGCATGTCATGCCCAGTATATAAACTGGCAGAAGACACCCAGAAGGGCAGATCAGTACTCAGGCAGGGCTGGATATCGGTCGGCAGGTGGTGAGCAATTGTGTTGCACATCACCTCTGTTTATGGGGGCTTTTTTTCCTTTCACCTTTTAGCTTTATATTCTCTCCCCTTGTTATTTGCCTTATTGTTATTGTTAGTAGTAGTAGTAGTTTTGTATTATACTTTAGTTATTGGACTGTTCTTATCTCAGCGCAGGGGGTTTACACTCTTTTGATTCTCCTCCCCATCTGTGTCAGTGACAATGGATAATGGTCCATGGTGAAACACACAAAACCAGAAAAGTACTGTTTGGCACAGTTTGTGGGAACATCACCTTCAAAATAGGGGAGTTAACAGGGCTGTTAGAAAAAGGGAGTCTTATACCAGTAAACCTCTGTTCACATGCTGGCCACATGTGCGCTGATGTTGCAACTTGTAATTTTCCACTCCAACACAAGGGGGGATATAAGCACCTGTGCAGGGATGGATGGGTGAGAAGGACAGATGAGCACCTTGATTCAGGGGACGCCCTACCAACACACTGCCTACCACCCCTCCGACCAGGCAACATGTTCCATCTCCTTCTTCTGCTCGGCAGTATCCCATTCAACCAGGGGTTGGTATGTATGCAACCTGCTTTGCATTAATACAAAAATATCTGCTTTGCACTAATAATAAATAGCCTAGAGCATTTGATTGCTTACATTGTGTTTGGTGTCCAGTCTTTGCTCATGGGAATGCTAGGTATTGCAACATAACTGGTGACAAGTATGGGATTCCGGGTCTGTGAGATTGTGAGAAACATTTTGGGATAATACGAGTAGAGTGGGGCCGTGTAGCGAGTGCACAGCTACTGGATCATGCCACGCCTTGGTAGTTGTGGTAGGGTTGTGTATTAACAAACTAGTTGTACTCCTTTATTGTGTTTCATTTCTCTCAACCTGGAATCCCGGATTGTCGCAGTACAAACACTGCAGACTGAGAACAGGGCCTGGGCAGTGGGGCACATAGCTGCACCAAGAGGAGCTGTTCTGTGTGTGTGAAAGGGGGCTTGGTCTGTGTGTGTGCTGTCAGGGTTGCTTTAAGGTTGTTGTGTCATATACTATTGCTATATTTCATAGGAAAGAGCCTTGGGCCGTGGCTCCTCCTGTGGAGTGGCCAGGGTGTACACAGGAACCATGAAGCACATTGTGGGATAAAATAGAGATTTGCACTAATGTAGGACCTGAACCATGGGGAGCTAAGAACCCCACGGGAGTGCTAAAGTATTGGGGTGAGTTTGTAGAAACCACCCATACCCACTTGAAGGAGTGACCGAGTCATGCTGGACACATGACAGGCTGCTTGCTGCTTGCCTACAAAGGCATGGTAGATAAGAACACAGAGTTGCAGCAACAAGTAGCTGATTTACACTCCAAGCTAGAAAGGGATACAGCAGAATTGCTGTTGCAGAGGCAGGCATTTGTAGCCGCTGCATCGCAAAAAAAAACAGAGCAATAGAAAAGATACCAGGGCAGTGAGGCCATGGGTCCATGCCCTTGTGTCTGATCCTGACTGGGACCAGGAGACACAGAATGGAGATATTTGGGGTACCCCTGAGTCAGAATCAAATACCGCAGATGATACAGACATGAAAAAGAAAGCAGCCTGCAAATCTCCTGTGTTTAAATGTAAGATGATTACCAAGGCAAATAGACAAGTAAGAACAGATGAATTGACAGACTATAGTCTTGAGGAGATTAAGAACTTATTGGATAAACTGAAGCAAAGGCCAGGGGAGACACATCAGAACTGGCCAGTTTGCCTCACAGAGGACGGAGCAGATACTGTGTTGCTAGATGGGGTGGATGCAAAAAACCCCATACTACCATAGAACAAGGAAAACCCATTGAACAAGTGATTGAAAAGCTAATCCAGTTAGGGAATTCACCAGGACTTGCCTTGGACACAGCAGCTCATGGTAAGGGCAGAGTAGAAAAGGAGATATAAACAACTGCAAGCCATCCTGTTCCCGTTATGTGGATAACTGAAGAATTGCTGATAGTGCACCTGGGTCTTGAGCAGGCCAGGGAGTGTTTGTGTGCACGGGTGCCAGGCTGGGCTGGGAAACAGCCTGAGGAGTGACTGTTTATAGAACAGAATTACAGGGACTGAAGACAGTCACTGTGATTGATGTGGTTTCTGTTTGGCTTCATAGCTCAGATCTAAGCCCTCTAGAGTTCCAGCAGGCCACCTGTGTTGCTGTTTGGGCCTGAAGAAGAGTGCCTGGATAGGGGCAGGGAGACTACTTCTTTAGCAGGTGTTCACCTGGGGGTCTTTTATATACCGACTGGACAGTGCTATACAAAGGCAGATTGAGGGTCACGGGGCTGCTTGTGCAATTTTGTTAGCATATGAGGGTGCAGGTGTGGGGGTGTGGGGATTTCAGGGCTGTGTTAGCCCCAGTCAGATGAAAATTTACAGACATTGCCGAGTTGACTGGGGCAAGTCGGGATGTTGGAGCAGAGGCTTGTAGGGCTCCTGTATTGGCTGCTGCATTAATTATTCTGTTTTTATTGGTCATATTAGGTCGCATTCCAACCTGTTTGGCCCTTTAACTGTGGGTAATGACATAGCTAACTCCTTGACTGTTAACACTCTGCAGTTCACTTCTGCAGCTGCTTCACATTCCTTTTTTCATCAGAGTGCCTCTGTTTTAAAGAAACAGCTTAACCTGTCTTCTTTTCAAGCAAAGCAGATTTTGTCAGGTCTTGCCCTGACTGTCAGTCGACAGCTCAATCCTCATTTGCCATGGGTGTAAATCCCTGT